GTGGAAAACAGTATGTGGATTTTGTTATTTTTTTCACTTTTTATGTTTTTTTGTAAAGGCATCTTTAAGGGATAGTTCGCCTGAAAAAACATTTGCTCATGTTTTTTCGAACCCATATAACTTTCTGTCTTCTTTGAAACATGAATGGTGATATTTTGAAGAATAGCTTATATGTGGTACAATTCAAAAGTTTGAGGTTGGTAGATTTTTTGATGTTTGAAGTTTCTTATGCGTACCGAGGCTGCATTTATTTAATCAAAAACACAGTCAAACATTATTACATTTTAAAATGACTAATAACATAATGGCAAAACTAAATTCTCATCAGTCGTAACTCCAATCATCAGTCACATGATCCTACAGAAAACATTTCAATATGCTGATTTGATGCTCAAGAAAGTAATTTTATTATTAATGTTAAAACACTTGTGCTGCTGTATATATACAGTGTATATATATATATATATATATATATATATATCAGGCATAACATAATGACCACCTTCTGTCAGACTCTGTTCCGTGTCTTGTGTGTGTTTTGCTCCCCATGTGTTTCCATGCCCTTATTCGGTTCTTCCTGTTCCTGTTCTAATTATGTTTATTGTTTCATTAGTTCCAGGTGTGTCTCATCATCCCATCCCTTAGTCCTGTGTATTTATAGTGAGCCCTGTTCTAAGTTTTGTCGTCCGGTATTGTGAATGTCTGTGAATGTGTTAACCTCTCCTGCTACGTGTGTTTTTCCTGGTTCCCTTAAAGACATTAAAATCTCCTGTGTTGATGTACTCCTGGTCTCCTCGTTCCTTATTCTTCACTCTGCACTCACACACCGTAGTGAAATGTGACCAAATACCGGACCGTGACAGGAAGCGGCGCCCCTTCTCCCCGTGTTTGTTTTTCGTTTTGAAAGTCTTTTGTTTTCCTATTCGTTTCCCCCCACCAACATGGAGGAAAGAGTGAAGTCCATCGCCACGACCTGCTCACCTACGCGAGGACATTCGTGCTGCTCGCCCTCGCCAGCTCCCTCAATGGGGAGACCCTCGTGGCGCTGTTCCAGCTCGGGGTCACTTACCATCAGTCAATGCAGCTCCCAGACACCACCAACCTCGAATGGAAGGAGGCGGTCATCCGGTGTCTGGAGAGCCTCCGATCCCGATCCGAAACCCCTCCGCCGGCCGTTCCACAGTAAAGGGGTCCTATTATGCTCTTTTACAAAGTCTTGATATTGTTTTGGGGGTGTACTAGAACAGGCCCTTATACTAGGTTGTTCGAAAAACACATTATTTTTCACATATTTTACATTATTACAACACCTCTCTCCTCAGTCTGGCATGAACAGCTCGAATAGTTCCTGTATCAAATGAAGGCCCGCCTTCTGAAATACGAAATGTGCTGTGATTGGTTAGCTGAGCCAGTGTGCGTTGTGATTGGCACCACTCGGCGCCTGGTCAGGAAATGTCATGCCCCTTACCGTAGCCGCCTGTGAGCGTCAGTGTAAATATTGCGTCAAAATCAAATAAATTTGAGCGCGATTTCAACCCGGATGATTGTAACCACTCTAAGTTTGTCTGCCTTGGGAAAACTAGCGTGTCTCTGACGTAGTGATAACACTCGTTGCCTTCTCTAGTGCAGCTCAACCAGGTCTCGTCCTATTCGTCGGTATTTGTGATATCACAAATCCCGGAAAATATGCGTTGTAGTCCAAACGAGTCGTTCGTTGTAGTTTTTGAAAAGTGATTTCTGTTAAATAAAATATCTCCTTTTGAAATGGACTTTGAGCTTTGCAACTTTGCAGATCTTTTTTATGCTCAAACAGCAACAATACAGACTAAGTAAAGCTGAAAAAACGAAAAAGCATAATAGGACCCCCTTAAGACTCCCTTTGTGGTCCAGGGTCACATATTGGGTTAGTCCCCCTTTTGGTCCCCCCCCCCTTTGCTGCCAAAACAGCCCTGACCCATTGAGGCATGGACTCCACTAGACTCCTGAAGGTGTGCTGTGGTATCTGGCACCAAGATGTTAGCAGCAGATCCTTTAAAGGGTTAGTTCACCCAAAAATGATAATTATGTCATTAATTACTCACCCTCATGTCGTTCCAAACCTGTGAGACCTTTGTTCATCTTCAGAACACAAATTAAGATTTTTTTGATGGAATCTGAGAGCTCTCTGACCCTCCCATAGACAGCAAGGATATTACCACGATCAACGCACAGAAACTTAGCAAGGACATAAAATATCTTAATTTGTGTTCCGAAGATGAACGGAGGTCTCACGTGTTTGGAACAACATGAGGGTGAGAAATTTTTGGGTGAACTATCCCTTTAAGTCCTGTAAGTTGCAAAGTGGGGTCTACATGGATCAGACTTGTTTGTTCAGCACATCCCACAGATGCTTGATTGGATTAAGATCTGGGGAATTTGGAAGCCAAGTCAACACTTTCCTGAACAATTTTTGCTTTGTAACAGGGCACATAATCCTGCTAAAAGAGGCCACAGCCACCATGGAACACTGTTTCCATGAAAGGGTGTACATGGTCTGCAATGTAGGGATTTCTATCATGAACAGGACATTGATATCCCACTGCATCAACTCATCATGAGGCTTCGAACTAATCCAATCAGGAGATAACACAGAGATCTTTTGTACAAGAGACAATCATTTAAAAGTATAAAATGGCAACTATAGTCACAAATAATATGTTTTATGTCTGATATATGTGTGAGGTGTTTCCTGTAATCGGTGCAAGTTTAACCAATGTGGTATAACACCTTTTAGTAATTAAGATTATTAATGTGTATGCAAACTACCCGATATTGAGCTTGAATGAAAGCTTGTTTTATTCGCCGAACATTGGTGTTGGTGAAAATTGTATATTCTGTATCATTTTCCGGTGATGATATTTTTATAAGAAGTTCTTAAAAACTTGCAGAAATACTCCCCATGAACAGCATGTGACTTGTGCACGAAAAGGAACCACACAGGGCGTGGCTAAACCCCGCAAAGCTAAGCAAAAGACTCTCTTAGATAAACTTCGAGGTTCTTCCGTAACCTGGCAACCAACCAATCCAACGAGGGCTCTCCCAAAAGGACGTCATCCTGACGTCATCGCAACAGCCAATCAGCAAAGGAATTTCACTCCAGCAGCCAAAACCGGAACCCCGTTCTCAGATTTCAGCAAACGCAAGTACAAACAAATCTTACATCTGCTGAAATAGGTGCTGAACTGGTGAATTGAGTTAAGCAGTAAAGATAAGAAAATCTCTGTTTTGTGATTGTCCCAGGGTTGAATTTAAAGCACTCGTACCAAGCGAGTGTTAGAACCAAGAAAACTTCATGCAACTCCATTAACTAATTTCCTTCATTCTTCTGAACTGTATGTATGTGTGTGTGTATGTGTGTTTTAGCTTAGTTTTAATGTAATCTAGAATAGCTAATAAATTCATCTTTCCTTTATAAAAAATCATTGTCTGGTGTCGTATAAGTTTAAAGTCAAACCTTGCCAAGATCACGTTACCTCGCTAGGAGCTTATAGTATTGTATTGTATTGACCTGTGGCCAAGGGAAATACAAATATTCAAATTGTTAAAATATACTGATGTCAACGGCTCGCTGGACGACCGTTGATTTAAAGTGTAAACTATCAAATTGGAATTCAGTTTTAATCAGGTGGACCTTGAATTTTCATATTCTAGTCCTTTCAAACCCTGAATGAATTAATAATAATTAATTCCCTAAAATTAAGTAATGAGACATTACAGCAACAATGCTTAGGTAGTGGTACGCGTCGAAGTAACATCCACATGGATGGCAGGTTTCCCAGCAGAACATTGCCCAAAGCATCACACTGCCTCCGCCGGCTTGCCTTCCTTCAATAGTGCACTCTGGTGCCATGTGTTCCCCAGGTAAGCGACGCACACTCACCCGGCTATCCACGTGATGTAAAAGAAGATGTGATTCATCAGACCAGGCCACCTTCTTCATTTGAGCTACAGTAGCTCGTCTGTTGGATCGGACCACATGGGCCAGCCTTCGCTCCCCACGTGCTTCAATGAGCCTTGGCCGCCCATGACCCTGTCGCCGGTTCACCACTGTTCCTTCCTTGGACCACTTTTGATAGATACTGACCACTGCACACCGGGAACACCACACAAGAGCTGCAGTTTTGAAGATGCTCTGACCCAATTCTTATGATTGCCTATTTTACCTGCTTCTAACACATCAAATTTGAGGACAAAATTTTCACTTGCTGCCTAATATATCCCACCCACTAACAGGTGTCGTGATGAAGAGATAATCAGTGTTATTCACTTCACTGTTCAGTGGTCACAATTTTATGCCTGATCGGTGTATGTATATATTTTCAAAAGAACAGCATTTATATATAAAATAGAAAATATAAATATTGTAACAATGTAAAAGTCTTTACAGTAGGAACAGATTCACTATTATACACTAAGCATTTTCCCTCAATAAACTCATAATTTGCTTCTTGTTCACTGTAAGTAAGGTAGTTGTTGTTGTAGTAGTTGTTTAGATTTAAGGGATCTAGATGGTCATGCAGAATAAGGCATTAATATGTGCTTTAAAAGTACTAATAAACAGCCAATATGCTAGTAATATGCACATTAATAAGCAACTAGTTAATATTTAATATTGTTCCCTAATCTAAAGTGTCCTAAAACTGATAAAACAACACAATTAGTGTCATATAAGTCCATATGACTGTATGTATATTTATGAACAATTATTTTCTTTCTTTTGTCCTGATCTTCTTTAACACACTGAATAAACATACAGCTTACTGGAGAGGAATAATGAATTTGGAATCTTGGAATGTTATGCACAAGCTGTATTAACTACATTTATGATACTTTTTTTTGGTGCTTTTGCATAATTTTAAAGTTTAAAAGCGACCTGAAAAGTATTTAAAGCTTCACTTTTTGTGTTAAAATTATCTCTCTACCTGTGTCTATAAACACTTTTTCTTCTCTGTTTACATTAGGAATTTACCTGTTTGATATGACCTACATTGACTCCGCCTACCCTGCTTCTGACAGCATCATCGAGACTGAGCAAAGAACCAATCAGATGAACAATCTACTGCGCATCATCTCCGATCTACAGGTGTCCTGTAACTACGGTAAGTTGCTTTCAGAAACCAATTTTCAATTGATTATGTACATGTATATGTACATTTTCATGTTAATGTTCAGATCTCATTAAAAGAAAAAAAGGAAATCTAAATTTTAAACCTGCACACAGTGTATTGATGTGAGAATTTAAATGGCATTTTCACATTTATTCACCCCACAGATCATTTAGTCATGTTACCACACGTGCAGAAGTATTTGATGTCAGTGCGCTACATCGAGGAGCTCCAAAAGTTTGTGGAGGATGACAATTACACGTAAGTTACCCAAACACATTGCAATGCTCAGTAGCCTTTATTTAGCTGAACTGACTGTTTTGGGGGATTTTAGCTTTGTGTTCTGCCCTGCAATTTATTGCACTTCATAAACGTCTATGCCAGCTTTCACTTTAAACTATCCACATCTGTAAGACCCCCGTAAATCGAGACCCTCCCTGGTTTTAACAATTCATTTTGCACAGCTGCCTATACTATTTATTAAAACATGTGCCCACAGGCCATCCAAACACCCAATTTACCGGAGACAGCTGCACCAACTTGGCATGACTTTATGCTACAATCCCTATTTCCTTTACCTCAGGCTTCGTAAAGATTTTCCTAGTACAGTCTTATATAATATGGTTTTCTGAAAATTGTGCTATGTGGTGTGGTATGACAAATGAATGTTATGAATGAGATTTCGAAAACAGTATCATTTTTGGAAATGTTACATGCTGCACATGTTATGTATTATGCATACATGTGGCTTTCTGCCTCTACAAAGACAAGCATAGCATTGAGGTTTTCATCATTATTAAATGAGTTTTCCCTGTTTCCTCCGGAGCTTTCTTCACTCCTACTGTGTGGTCCTGTCTGTCTGTCTCACAGAAAGGGCAGGTGGTTTTATTGCGGTCCAATTTCTTGCCGTCTAGACACTTATGAACGCAACATCAGGAATTGCAAAACTCTGGAACCCCATATTTCCACTGTTTCCATGTGGAAATGTCAACGTTCATTTTCAGTTAGGTGGCTCTTTCAAGTGGTGTGTTGAAGTGTTGAAGACATTCATACGATATTTTATAATCTTTTTTTATTTATAATTGTTTACTAATTATAATTTTATAAAAATGCATTAAAAAAATTATTGAACCTACAGTAATTTAAACTGCTGTTTTGGCACCAAGTGTTGGTTTGTAATTACTGACAAATGTATGTTTTCCCTAAATTAGGTTTATATATGCATATTGTACAATATACATATCGAATGGTTAAGCTTCCCAATCCTACTGTGTGGTCCTGTCTGTCTGTCTCACAGAAAGGGCAGGTGGTTTTATTGCGGTCCAATTTCTTGCCGTCTAGACACTTATGAACGCAACATCAGGAATTGCAAAACTCTGGATCCCCATATTTCCACTGTTTCCATGTGGAAATGTCAACGTTCATTTTCAGTTAGGTGGCTCTTTCAAGTGGTGTGTTGAAGTGTTGAAGACATTCATACGATATTTTATAATCTTTTTTTATTTATAATTGTTTACTAATTATAATTTTATAAAAATGCATTAAAAAAATTATTGAACCTACAGTAATTTAAACTGCTGTTTTGGCACCAAGTGTTGGTTTGTAATTACTGACAAATGTATGTTTTCCCTAAATTAGGTTTATATATGCATATTGTACAATATACATATCGAATGGTTAAGCTTCCCATGTGTCACAAGCTTTTATGCTTTTATATCAAATTATCAAAGTATTATTTGAATAGTTGGATACATTCAAGAAGGTCATGACCTCTTAAATGTAACGGGCCAAAATCACCATTTTAAGGGTCAATGCAGATATCTTATCTTATTTTTTCAATGTCACGTGAAAGAAAAAAAAACTTTTGTGACAAGTGCGATATTTTTATTCTAATCTAATTTATGCAGACAGATAAAAGACTGGAACTCATTAGAGACTGTGATATATATCAAGATCTTGAGTTGTTTCATTTTAGAAAAGCCGGATTATTTTGCCTTGGTGTAATTTTCCTCACTGAATCGTTTCTGACTGGCGACGGTAATGAGTTAAAGCTGTTGCTCTGGTAAAGCTTTCAAACACGTCTCCATATGAGAAAATAAAGAAAGGCACCTTTTTGGCAAAGTGACATAATTCACACATCTTTTCCATGCTTCGTTAAAAAATGACTCGCCTGACTTACTTCAGTATCATGTGAAACTTCTCAAGTGAAACTAGACCATGCAGAGATAAACGTTTACATGGAGTCTGTACCATAATGAAAAACATGTCACGAAGATGTAGTGCGTATCAAGGGGAAGCTATTCGGTCATGGTGTAAATAAAGATGTTTGTAATTATTTTTCTCAAATCTTTATCTGGTTCTTGAACTTCAGTTGTTTTAATATAGTGTGTCTAGTTAAAAGATCACTAAAATAAAGTATTGTACAAAAGTAACAAAATTGCTATTTATGAAAGTGTATTTATTGTACCATATTATTAAGTGCTCATATTTAGACATTCAGACAGTGACTGAGCTCCATGTGAAATTGTCCATGTGAATTGACGACACCAAAGGATACATGGCCGCCAGAGGAGGATGGGTTTGGTGGAATGGCTGGGACTGCAGTATAATGGTTGTGTTTGGGGGAATGACATCATTGTCTGGCAGTCTGTGGGGTTGGAAAACCTCAGCGATCCTGGGTCACAGTCTTAAAATCCTTAGCCCATGCTTACAGCATGTCCTGCCATCTGGCACCGCTGTTACAGAGAGCTCTGTGGAGCTGGGCTAGAATAGAGAGGTCGTTTTCAGAAAACAGGGCCAGTTGTGCCTAATATTTTGTTGCTTTTTTTTTTTAGGGCTGCCAGTTTAACGCGTTAATTAATTAGTTATGAAAAGTAACACGATTAAAATATTTTAATGCAGTTAATGCACTGACCCCACCCACAGACCTGTACGTCATCTTACATTTCATACAGATGACTGTTGACAAATATGATGCAGGGCAAAATCTCCATAAATGCAGTTATGGCCTAAAATTCAAGATATTGTGGCAAAAAATCCCCATTAGTTTTTGTCTCATTTATATCATATGATAAGCAATATCCCATGAGCAGCGAGAGCAATATCACATGAGTGCAAATGTGATTTTATACAACAGTTCAGTAAATAAGTTACATTTTAAACACAAATTTGTAATATCTACTTGATACTTTCTCATTTAACACAATAATGGCTTTAAATGATCTTTTGTGGGTAATTTCACAGCCAAATTTAATTTGTGATTCATTAGATTAATTAATTGACACATCATGTAATTAATTAGATTAAAAATATTAGAATCAACTGACAGCCCTTCTTTTTTTTTAATCATTTCTTTCAAAAACACTTCTGAACGGTGGGTCTGAGAGGTAAAAATATGATGCGTACCAGGGCCTTATCCACCAGCAAATACTTGTGTGACATGTTATGACTAAATGTTTATATGTATTCATTTATTTTCTATTAGTCAAAGAATCCTAAAAATGTATCAAAAAAATATTAAGAAGCACAACTGTTTTCAACATTGATTATTATGAGAAATATTTCAATCAGTAGTTTAGAATAATTTCTGGAAATGTTGAAAATTCAGCTTTGCCATCACAGGGATAAATTACATTTTAAAATGTATTACAATAGAAAACAGGTATTTTATATTGTAATATTATTTCACAATATTGTAGTTTTCCTGTATTTCTGATACACACACTCTCATCATACATGCAAGATTTGTCAAACATGGGGAAAACAAATAGAACAATTAAATACCTGAATTCATTTTTGCCTTGATGAATTTGCTCAAGTATGTGTTACTTTGTCTTTGTCTATGACAAAAAGTGTAAAATGTCAAACTGAAATATGTTGCAATTGAAATTTGCTTTGCTTGAGAAAACTTGAAAAGTTTCATTTGATTCATAGTACATTTAAAGTAACGTTAATATTAGCCAGCTGGTGAACTCATTCTCTAAAATCACTTGGGTATGCAAAGCATTCGCGGCTATATGGACTACGCACCCTAATATTTGTGCACACACACACACATTACCCAGTTTTAAAATGTTTTGGGGAATATTAAGGGGCGAATATGGGGGTAGAATTGTTGCTTAATTCCAAATAAATAGATTATGATCCACAAATAAATAGAATGAGATCCACAAATAAATCTTAAAGTTTCACAAACATATGCAATATGAAAGCGTGGGAAATGCTGTTGGCTGTTGTGTGACGGCAATTTAACCTATTACACAAACAAATGTTTATTATGAGGTTGATTTTCACAAATACGTGCAGCTATCTACAAATGCACAGGACGCGATTCACAAATAAATGCCAGGCAAAGTTGTGGTTGTGACATAAATATATATTTGTGAATATGTTTTTTATTTGCAAATCTCATTTTATTTATTTGTTAATTTAATTCATGTTTGTGAAACTTTAAGATTTATTTGTGGATCTCATTCTATTTATTTGTGGATCATAATCTATTTATTTGGAATTAAGCAACAATTCTACCCCCATAGGCGAAGCTCAGTGCAAAATGGAAAATCACAGCCTAACTAGCAAATGCTAACCTTAACTAGCTTAGCCAACTTTCACGACCCTACGTCATTTTACAGTTATTGTTTTTGTGCTTTGTTCCAAAATAAAAAATCTGTATTATCTTTTCCCATGATAGTGTCCTTTTCAAACACAATTATTCAACTCTATGTATAAGCATAATGATGAATAATGATACAGATGAATACTGTGACTGTGAGAGAAACTCAAGGTTTAAACCATGTTGTCAAAAAATATGATATTATTTTATTGACTTTAACCCAGTCACAACTCTTTTGTACAGATTATCATTGAAGATTGAGCCTGGGAACAGCTCACCTCGTCTGGTATACTCCAAAGAAGACCTTGGAGGTAAAGTCTTTATCCCTTCATCCTCTCAGTTTACTTTTCTCAAAAACTCCTCCTGGAAGTGGTTAACTCTGCTCGTTTTTTTCTGAGTTTTGATTACCAGTGGAAAAATGGAGGATCATCAGTAATTCAGCTAAAGTACCTCAGCTATACCTGACTGAGGAGGTGCTGCATGGACTGCATTTTGTCTGGAAGTCGTTGATAGTTAGAGAGATTCTGCAGATTTGAGAGTTGGAGGGGCAATGAAAGAGTGAGACCCATGTAAACTAGCATTTTCAGGGTGATGTAGATCAGTCCCTCAGACGCTTGTTTAAACAGAGTGACTTTTCTTCAATTATTCCATGAGCTTATTCTTCTCAGTCTGGCAGATAAAAACCACCTGCTGTCAGTAGAGTGGCTCTGGAGGAGCCGTCTGTCTTGATCATTGTGGTCTTTGGTAACTTTCAGAAAGACCTTTGAAGGTTAAAGTTAACTGTTGACTTAAAATGCATAAGCTTAAGTCGTCTTCTCAAAAACATTGAAGTTTGTGGCCGTGGTTCTTTCAAAGTTTACATAAACATCCAAAATATACAAAACACAAATTGTGTGTAAAAATGCATTGTGGAGTGAGTAAAATATATCTGTGCCTGGAAAATACACATTTTTACTACTTTAAAAACAAGTTATTATTTTATTACTGTAACTTGGTTTATTTGTGCAGTAAATTTAAAATAAATAATAAATGTCCTAGCTAACATTAACAAGAATGGCACATTTTAACATCCATTGTGCAAGAGTAGTTTTCAGTTTTATGCACTAATGACAGAAATGTGGCTTATGGGTGAACGCCAGAGCTGTATAGAGTAGAAATAGGTTTTAAAAGCGTGTTTAGTCCTTGTACCTCAAGACAAGAATCTGAGGTTAATGGAGAGTTTGAATGAGATCATGGTGTATGTCAGTTCCTCTCATAAGAGGCAGAGCAATTAGGATGTTTCCTATTTCTGACTATCAGATGGTGGAGTGGGAAATTGAACTGCACTGTGCATTTTATGGTTGTAACAGCTGTGGCAGAACTGGACAAACACATGGAGACATCTAGGTGGAAATTGGTTATGGAAAGAATCTGATTTTTTTGTACTACTGCCGTTTTTATGTGTTGTAAAAAGTTGTACGATGAGATCATTGGTCTTTCTCATAGACTCAGAAAGCATTGTGAAAATGAATGTATATTATGTTTTTATTTTTATTTTTGGTAACATTTTAGTATAGGGACCGATTCTCACTATTTACTAGTTTCTTATTAGCATGCCTATTATTAACATATTGCCTGTTTATTAGTACTTATAAAGCACATTATTAATCTTACCCAATACCTAAACCTAACAGCTACCTTACTAACTTTTAATAAGAAGCAAATTATGAGTTTATTGAGGCAAAATTCATAATTAATGGTTTGTTAAGTGAGAATTGAATCTTAAAATAAAGTGACCATTTAAAAAATTAAAAAATCAAAAAAAAATCTGGGATGTCAAGTTTAATTCATTGTAATTTACTTTACATAAAATCCTCCTTCACTTCATTTTTTTGTTACAGTATATGATGTGACAGTGTCTCTAAAACTAAGCATGTAATTTAAGATACTCTTTGGGAGACATTTTTATTCTAATATTGACAATATTATATTTTACTTTATTTTACTATTTGTGATCCTGGACCACAAAACCAGTCATAAGGGACCATTTTTTTAAACTGATATTTATACATCATCTGAAAGCTGAAATAAGCTTTCCATTGATGTATGGTTTGTTAGGATGGGACAATATTTGGCCGAGATACAACTATTTGAAAATCTGCAATCTGAGGGTGCCAAAAAATCTAAATATTGAGAAAATCACCTTTAAAGCTGTCCAAATGAAGTCCTTAGCAATGCATATTACTAATTAAAGTAATTGTTGGCTATTGCTACAAATATACCCATACTACTTATGACTGGTTTTGTGGTCCAGGGTCACATTTTATTTCATAATTCCAACATTATATATTGTGTGTACTAAAACCATGTGAAACAGATCATCAGATGATTATTTATTAATTTGTGCATTATATTTATGCATTTTTGATCATATTATCTTAGCTAAATTTAATAAGGCGAAATGTAGAGTCAGCTGATCATAAAATAGCCCATAACAGGGTAATCAGGACCCCATCCCAGTAAAATCAATTAATCACATACTATAATTGCTAATACTTGAAAAATTTATTTGAGATATCACCCACTTAGATTACATTTTGTTCTGATTATGCAGATCACTTAATTTCTAATTACTAATGACAAATTGATAAAATATAAAAAATTGGATTCAAATAGAATATTTTGATTTTGCCAGTGTAATCATATCCATCATATAAATTTAATTATGATTTTCTGTTAATAAACATTGCACTTTGCTGTTGAATGTGTAAACATCCTTTGGTACTGTATATTTCATAAGATATTCATGTTGGTATTAATTTCTATTGACACTCTTGTAAATACTACTCTGTTGGGCACTAAACTAGATGTTTTCTTGGCCCAGATATCTAGTGTTTTAAAGGCCTCTAATGTTGCGATATTTACAGGCATTAGAGCTAGTCACTTCCAATTGTTCGTTGGGAACAGGGGCGGATCTACCGGGGTGGCAACTGCCCCCCTAAGAAAAAGCTGTGCCACCCCAAAATGATCACAGAATAAAATAAAAATTTAAGCAGTATTTCATGTGCTACTTTTCAGCTGTGGCGATGACAGAGTACGCAAAATAATTGCAAAAAAACACGTCTTTCAATAAACTGTACACGATGGTTGCACATGCACGCAGCATGCCAGTGTAGTCGGCTTCATTAACAATTGACACTTATGAACCGGAGTCAAAACCACAAAGTGCGGCCCAGTTCACTACTAACGAATTGTTTATACATTTGTTCGTGAATCAGATAATTACTGCTTCTCAGCTAACTCAGAAGTCCTTTGAGAAATCTAATCCCATCCTGATATGTCTGAGATGCATCGCGTAATTATTTGGTGATCCGATTCTCCGACCGCTCGCTCCACTTTCATCATGGATATAAGCTGTAACAATAACGTGAAATCAATAAGAAGATGCCAATCATGGAAACTAATAGCAGAATTAGGAAAGTATCTAGTCGTATTGCAGTTTTCTCGATTCTTAATATAACTGATTTTACTTGGCACTTTTTTTCCAAACCATTAATTCAGTTTTCAAAACAAAGACACATTTCTCAAAAAGTTTTACAATGAGTAAGTTAAACATTAGGTAGCAAAACTGATGACACATCAATCAGAATCTCTGCATCCTAACAAATCATGTAATGTGAATGTTGTACAGTCTTGCTCGAGACTAAAAAACGAGTTGAAAGTGTACCGAGCTGCGGAAGACACTGTTTCTCAAGCGCTTTCAGAGAGCGCGACTTGAGACGGAGTGAAACACGGACAAATGCGTTTCCCCACTCCACCGCCCAGTTTTGCGTAGGGCCCCCAGAAGTATAGGATCGGCACTGGCTGAGTCAATCATGATCTACAAGGGTTTTTATACTTACACATACAGTATAATTACAGTTCAGTACCAGTACATTAGATAATGGAAATTTAACTATTCTATACAGTAAACTGTAGCACGTTGTACACCTTCAAACGTGTGACTGTCAAATTTTGTTTGTAACCGTTTTTTATGTGTACTGCATTTTTGCAGAACTGAGAAATTACTGCCTATATAGCTAGTCTTGTGTCAGGAGACCAAGAAACTGCTATAGTACTGTATACTGTAATGAAATTTGGCAGAATGTGCAGAGGATGCTAAATTTACTTATTTATTTTATTTTTTACTGTACTGTATTGTGGTGTATACCAAGTTCATACAATTATTTGGTAATGTGACTGTCAAATTTTGTTTGTAACCGTTTTTTATGTGTACTGCATTTTTGCAGAACTGAGAAATGACTGCCTATATAGCTAGTCTTGTGTCAGGAGACCAAGAAACTGCTATAGTACTGTATACTGTAATGAAATTTGGCAGAATGTGCAGAGGATGCTAAATTTACTTATTTATTTTATTTTTTACTGTACTGTATTGTGGTGTATACCAAGTTCATACAATTATTTGGTATTTGAACTTTTCTAGTGCTTTTCATTTACTGCAAGATTACTTTACAGTATAGTAAAAATGAAAAATAAATTCCCAAAAGTTCATTGCTGAACTATACCTCTGTATCTGTAATTTAATTTATGTATACTGTAATAGACATTGAGCTGCAAAAATAATTCCTGAGTTTTTTTTTTGTTAGAGTGTTATTGATCTTAGTGTGCACTGGGCAGGAAAGTCATCTGTGTATTTGAATTGTGTGTAAGCATTTACAGTTTTTTTTCAACACAATTTCTGAAACCTGACACCAGAACCACACACCAAATCTGCAAAACCATATACAAATTTTTGGCCTTTGACTCCGTTTTCAATTTCATAAAACACTTTTTGCAAAACACAACACACAATTCTCTATGAAACGCACAAACATCTAACAGGAATTAAAGGGGTCATATGATGCAATTTCAATTTTTCCTTTCTCTTTGGAGTGTTACAAGCTGTCCATGCATAGATAAGATCCCTAAAGTTGCAAAGACTAATGTCTCAAACCCAAAGAGGTATTCTTTATAAAAGTTAAGACTCGTCCACGCCCTCCTAAAACGCCTCGTTTAAACGCCCCCACATGCCTACGTCACTGTGTGGGAAGATTTGCATAACACCGCCCAAATGTTCACGCGAAGAAAGAAGGCGTAACTTTTATTCTCGCTGTAGTATTGTTGTTGCCGCTGCCACCATGTCGTGGAGACACTGTGTGTTTCGTTGTGAAAGCCAAACTACTTTAGGTGCATCCCAAATCGCGTACTTATGCACTATTCTATGACGTTTTGTAGTATAAATGGTGTGTGAGCAGTGCGTTCACACTGAAAATTCCAAAAAGAAAAAGTGCACTTTAAATACCCAGATGATGCACTTAAATAACCGAAAAAATTAAGTGTGGAATGTTGGACACTTCATGCACTCAATTGTCGCAGCTTTGATTACATACCGAAGGGGGAAGGGCTATGAGACTCCGATTAAGAATGACAAAATAACCTTATATAATTCATACTATATATGGTTGAGTACATTATGCACTCTTACACTATGTACTTATGCACTGTGTATAGTGCGTCATTTGGGACGCAGCTTTTGTTTGGTCTTCCAAAAGAGGACGATATCGTTTCATCATGCCTAGAGCTGATCCGTGCTGGTCGCTGAGGAAATACATCAACTTCGCGCTGTGGCTCGCCAAATCGGCTTTCACAGTGGACGAAGCGGAGTCCAGCCCGGGGTCGTGTGGTTGCCGCAAGCCCGCCAGCCGCCCCTCACTCTAGCCCACCGTGTATGACGCTGTGTTTCGTTGTGAAAGCGAAACTACTTTGTTTGGCCTTCCAAAAGAGGACACAACTAGAAATCAGTGGTTAAGTTGTATTTACAACACTGTTCCAGAACACTTCAACCCAAATATTCAGATGTGTGCAGCACATTTTATGGAGGACTGTTTCCTGAACCTGCAGAGTAGCCTACAACAATGCGTCTGTGCACAAAGGCTGTTTCTATAAAGTGGGGCAGTTCCAACTTTGCAAGGACAGTCTGGCCCTTCTGACTCACAGACTGTAAGTACGTTTTTATATTTAAAGAATTTGCCACTGACGATTAAAACGCGAGGTTTGAGCAGTGTAGAGTAGCACTTGTTGTTTGTCATTTCTCAGATCACAAATGCAGACATGGTTTTATGTTTCCGCGGCTCAATACGCAATGCAATGAGTAAAAAGACAAGTCATTATAATCAGTAATTATGTCCCCATTGGATGCAACAAATGCCTCGTTTGTAATAGGTTTTAATGTTTTTGTCTTGTCGCTCCGGCCGGACAGGGCATCACAATATGGTAAGGGGTGTAACATTTCCGTCACACGCTTGAGGTATTCAGCCAATCACAACGCACTGGATAGCTGGCCAATCAGAGCACACCTCGCTTTTCAGACCGATGAGCTTTGTAAAAATCGACGCGTTTCAGAAAGGCGGGGCATAGAGGAGAAACAATAATGTACAGTATGTAGAAAATAATGTGTTTTTTTAACCTTAAACCGCATAAACACATTTCACTACACCAAATACACAACATAATGTTATTTTTAGCAACGTCATATGACCCCTTTAATATTATGGAAAATGTGTTTGCAAATGTTTGCTTTTGAGATGTGTTTGTGATATTTTGAATGCAGTGCTTCATTTTGCAAGAGATGTGAGGCATTTTGCATTTTGTGTGTGCAATTCTTGGATTTGTGTGTAAAGTTTTGAAAAAGGAGGCAAAGTTTTGAAAATGTGTGTAAGCAGTTGAAAAAAATCTGGTAGAAAAACTGTAATAACTAGATTGAAAAGTTTGAAAGACAAATTTATGCTGGCTTGTCTTAAAGTTTTGTTTAAAAACGTAAATGGTTTGGTCAGTTAGATATTCTAGATGTTTGCTAAAGTGTTGCTAGTTGGTTGCTAGGATATTCTGGGTGGTTGCTAGGCTCTTGCTATGCAGTTGCTGGGGTGTTGCTAGAGTATATGGTTGCTAGAGTTTGTTCTGGGTGATTACAGACATTCCCACCTCTGTTAATAACAGAAAATCAAACATTGTTTTCAAAACTGATCCCGTTTCAGTGCTTTGATATTATTGTATTTATTTCTAATGCTAGGAAATTCAAAAGTTTTTGTTGTTCTTAAACTTGGACTAAAACGTGATTTATACCATCTAAGTAGCCTATGTAATTTTAATAGAACCGCATGTCTTCTTTGGTGATACAAGCTCAGAAACATTTATAACCTTTTGGAAGTTTTTTTATTGTGTATTGACTTGGTGCCATGATGGATATTGAAATGTTGTTATTTATTTTTCATTTTAAACAGTAGCCTATAGATGATTACTTAATGGTAATACAATATTCGTGAACACAACTGTATGTCAGACCATAAATCCCCAAAAACTATGTATGGGGGCTTGCTTTGGTGTTGCCACCCCTCATAGACCCCATGCTACCCCATTGCCACCCTAAAAATTATTTTCTAGATCCGCCCCTGGTTGGGAACAAAGTCTGGTTTCATTTAGGTAAGGGCTCTTCTTATCCATTATGAGACTTATTAGCCTACTATAAAAGACAGTGGGGAATGTCATAATTAACATACTCCTAATAATAATCCAAAGCCATTTCCAGCATTGCCACACATCCCCCTCTGGTTTGACTTTACAGTGGAAAAGGCCTATAAACATGACTGCAGGGAACATTTTCACTGGCTGTCCACTTATTTTTTGCTACTTTGGAGTGGTATTCTTGTTTACCAGGCCGGTAATACTGTGGCTGGGTTGAGAAACTGAGCCATCCTCTTTGACACAAAGCCTAACTTTCTGCTGTGGAACTATGGGACTGTTTTCAAATGTTAGCCTTCTGAGAGCCATAATTATCCACATGCAGCTTTAATAGGTACTAGTAAGCATTTTATGGTTGTTAGTTTTGAATAGCACAGGAATGGGCTTTATGAATGCAGCTTCGGTCTACATATAACGTTTTCAATAAGCAAGGAGATCTATGACAATTATTATGTGAGTTTGTGTACCGCATTTACTTGGAGGTGTAAGTGTTGTCATAAGTATAAATGTGTGTGTGTGTGTGTGTGTGTGTGTGTGTGTGTGTACAGGACCCTCAGAAGAGTCTGTCTCAGTGCGGTATAACCGACGACCAACCTGTCCTGATACATCAGTGGTTGCCCACCTTCCAACACCACCTCCTGCCCGACACAGGAAGAGCCACAGTCTGGGGAACAAGTAGGTATCGCACTACATTATGAGAAAAGTTCACCCCTCACAACACATATGACAAGTGGGAAAAAGTACACTTTAGCATATGTTTAAAAAGACTGTTTATTTAAAAAATAGTATACATGTAATATACATAAGTGTGAACTGAACAGACACTGAATTGTATATTAATAGCAATGAAGTGAAAATGTATGTATTATAGTTTAAATTTATGTTAAATGCAATTAGCTGAACTGTAGTGTGCTTTATTGACCCACTTAAGTAGGGCCTACAGTAAGTACTTTTTTTATATTTTCATAATTATTTCACTTATCTTTTGAAACATGGTTAAAGGGATAGTTCACCCAAGAATGAAAATTCTGTCATCACTTACTCATCCTCAGGCTATTTCAAACCTGTATGAATATCTTTCTTCTGCTGAGCACAAAAGAAAATATTTTGAAGAATGTAACCAAACAGTTGCTGGTCCCCATTGACTTCTATAGTATTTTTGTCCATACTCTGGAAGTCAATGGAAACCAGCAACTGTTTGGAGACCAACATTCTTCAAAATATCTTTTTTTTTTATGATCTACAGAAGAAACAAACTCATACAGGTTTGGAACAACTTGAGGGTGAATAAATGACTTATAAGCCATTTTAAATATATTTGTGTACATATTTGTAATAATGATGTTGCAATTTAGTGCTTTTAAAATATATTAACTTCAAATGTAATATCAAACATGTGCTTTAGTATGCTAGTCAACACATTTAGTCTTTAGGTACTCTTAAGAGGTCTTTTATTTCATTAATATTATATTATCTGCAAGTAGAAATATACTTTCAACATCTGAAGTACACTACAAGTACATATTCAATACAACTAAGTGCACTTCTTTTTTACAAGGGAACACGGTGCCTAATCTGACTGATTGTCTTTGTGTTTCAATTCTGTCATCTCTTCTCAGTATGATGTGCCAGTTTGGTGTAGTGGAGAGTAAAAGTGCGACATTCCCTGCAAAAGAAAAGGCTCGACACCTACTGGACGACAGCTTCTTAGAGTCTCACAGTCCTGTCAGAAACCACACACACGATTCAGTATTTACCAACGGCATCTCACTTGGTACTACAGTTTATTCCTCTTGTACACACCCTCATATCTCAGTCTTTGTCCCACTAACACAAGATTAATGTGTTAGGATATCTGCATCCTATTTTAAAGGTGTTCTCTTTTACCACCATAAAATATGACTGCTGTGTTGAAACTGTGTTTGCATTTATTATTTTTAACCACTAGATGACAGTAGTGTTCAAGCTTTTGTTATTAGAGTGGGTTATTGGTCTTTCACAAACACCACATTGATTTTTTTCTAAATAGACTTGACATCTTCACCATGGAATATTTCTGCCACCACCTTTCATTCATTTATTCTAAGAGAAAGAAAATGATTTTGTTTTGTCCTGGCCTTCATATGTTTTTGGTCTGTCTGCAGGCAGTAGAGAGAGCTCTTTTAGTGATGAATTATCAAGTACAGTTGAGAGGTAAGGCAAATTATACATCATGATTATAAATTAGAATAGAAAATTAATTGCATTTATTATATTTCTGTTTAGTTTTTTTCTGAAGTCAGGTCTATATTTATAGATACACATTCTTAAATCACAACACATTAATAACATTTGCAGTTCTAACTCTGTTCAGAATCTCAGCTGTGAACATGTTTCTTATTTATTTGTGACGCTTTCGTTTTCTTAAAACAAATGAAAAACACATTCCTCTTCCTGACCACTTTCAGAGGACGTATGTACGCGACACTTGGTCCAAATTGGCGAGTGCCAATCTGTAACTCTCCCAGAAGTAGAAGTTATATTTATAGGTAGGAATATAGCTGTTATCTATGTCCCTAAAAACTGTTAATGCTGTTGTCTTTCTTAAACAATTATTTTAATCTTCTTATCTTTGTTTCCTTCTTGATTTACTGTACATATCCTCATCACATACTTGAGTTGTTCTGCTGCAGGACATATTGATCTCAGTGTTTTATATGACCTGATGAAAAAATTATTTTCTTGCTTCCCCAGTACCCCAGGGGCAGTTTCCAGCTATGAATGCAGTTCTCTGAGCAGTATAACCATTGAAGGGCCCCTGCGAAGAAAGACACTGATGAAGGAGGGTAAAAAACCCACTGTAAGTGTGCAGTCAAATTTACCTGTAAAATTTTAAATGTTAAACATGAGCCAGTATTTTTACCCTGTAGCCCACTTATGATAAATAGGTTAACTTGGATGAATTTATTAGATTAGATATGGCTTTGATGCGTTTGTTCATCACTCATTTATATAAAGTTAAGATTATTGTCAGTATAAACATAAAATGTATTGTAGACTTTATCTAGATATGTTTGTGGTTTGAGGATTTTACCTACTACTCTTTGACATTATCAAACATGCAGGTTTGATAAGTAACTTTTTTAAGTTTATTAACTTTGCATAGTTACTTAATTATTACTTGCCTCTCGTGTGCAGAAGTGAAAGGCCTTGCTCAAATGACTTTTATAATTACATGAAATGTTTTCCAACCATGATTGACCTTACTAAACATATGAAGAAATATTTTAAAATCTTGGCATGGTATCATATACAAGCAATCAAGTATAATTTAAGTGTTTGGTAACATCTCTGACTCACTCTGCCTTGCAAGTTCCAAGAATCTCACAGAATACCATCCTACACAATGCAGTGTTGCACACTGGTACATCTTCAGTTACAGAATATCCTTAGGATAGTATGTCCTGCCATTTGTCTGGTTTTTCTATGTGCCAGAATGCTGGACACTTATGAGTTAAATATTAAAGATGTGGTGACTATGCCAAATCTCAAAAATGTTGATAGAATAAGGAAAAAACAAAAAGGGTGTATTTTATGTCGACAAGCTAAGGCATGAGTACTTGCAAAGTACACAACTTAATACTTTGATTCAGCAAGGTTACAATAAACTGATCAAAAGTGACACTACAGAGTTTTCCGTTGTAAGAAAAGATTTATATTTCAAATAAATGCTGTTGTTTTGAAAGTTCTGTTTAAAGAATGCTGAAAAGATGTATCACGGTTTCCACAAAAATATTAAGCAACACAACTGAACAGGCTAGAACTAAAGTAGGGGTGCTAATGAGGGACAGACAGGTGAGGAGAATCAACTAATGAGGAGGACACAGGTAAACTGACTAACATAATCAAACACAGGGAAAAACTGGGTCACGGAACACATGGAATGAAAACACAACAAAAGTTCATGAAAACTAAAAAGAACAGAATATAAGTGTGACATGAAAGGGCCCTATGTTATGCCCCTTTTTTACAATATGTAAAATAAGTATCTGATGTCCCTAGAGTGTACATGAAGTTTTAGCTCAAAATACCCCACAGATCATTTTTATAGCTTGTTTAAATTGGCATGACTTTATCGATTTTTTTCTGTACATTTCCTTCGAAAATGAAACGTAACCACAGTGTCCTTAGCGGCTCAGATGGACTCCTATGTTCATTGGTGCATCGCAAAAACACAACACTGGTAATGCCGCTTTGGCGCTGACATGTGGTGCATTCCAAATGGGATATATCGCCCTCCGAAGGGCACTTCAATTTGGAACGACCGAAGTGCCCTTTGTAGGGCGATATATCCCATCAAAAACTCAAAACTGGCCACTTCAAAGGGCCCTTCGGAATGAAGGATTTCGAAGGGTACAACTGATGGACACTTTGGGCTCCCATGATCCATTGCGCAGATTCTTTGCATGATGACGGCGCCTCCGTGTGGGCATGTGATGATGACGCAGAAGGGCACTTCAAGAAACAGTTGTTTGGTCCCCTACACCCTTCGAAGCTCTCACTCCAGAGGGTAAAACCCTTTGAAGGGATTAGGGCATAGGGATGAGCCCTTCCGAATGGAACGCAGGGATTGTGTATCTCCAGTAACTGCTGCTTCTCACTCAGGACTGTGTCTATGCTAATAGGTCAAGAGAGCGTCACAAATGGGCGGGGCTTTTTCCCCTATGGTAACGTGTACCTAGGGAGAAATCTGGAATGGCTTGTTCTGAGAGACAGTTATTAGAATTATAAAAAAAATTAGTGGGTGGATTTTTACCATAACAAGCTAGTTGTTTTCACACACTGCAGCCACACAACATGTTCAATCACCTTATAAAAGTGATTTTTGCATAATAGGTCCCCTTTAACATTGATAATGAATCTTAAATCTTAAGCAGCAAATCATCATATTAGAATGGTTTCTGAAGAATCATGAGACACTAAAGCCTGGAGTAATGGCTGCTGAAAATTCAGCTTGCTATAACAGGAATAATTACATTTGAAAATAGATTCAAAAACAACAGTTACAATTATAACTGTTATTATAAATATTACAAATGACTTTCAAGTACAATAAAAACTTTTGCCCTAGGTACACTGTAAAAATTACTAATTTTAATAGTAAAATATCACCTTCTGTTTTTTTCTTATCAGTGCATCAGTTAGGTGTCTTACATGCTGTTAAATCCATTATAAATGGCAATGCTGGACACTTATGAGTTAAATATTAAAGATGTGGTGACTATGCCAAATCTCAAAAATGTTGATAGAATAAGGAAAAAACAAAAAGGGTGTATTTTATGTCGACAAGCTAAGGCATGAGTACTTGCAAAGTACACAACTTAATACTTTGATTCAGCAAGGTTACAATAAACTGATCAAAAGTGACACTACAGAGTTTTCCGTTGTAAGAAAAGATTTATATTTCAAATAAATGCTGTTGTTTTGAAAGTTCTGTTTAAAGAATGCTGAAAAGATGTATCACGGTTTCCACAAAAATATTAAGCAACACAACTGAACAGGCTAGAACTAAAGTAGGGGTGCTAATGAGGGACAGACAGGTGAGGAGAATCAACTAATGAGGAGGACACAGGTAAACTGACTAACATAATCAAACACAGGGAAAAACTGGGTCACGGAACACATGGAATGAAAACACAACAAAAGTTCATGAAAACTAAAAAGAACAGAATATAAGTGTGACATGAAAGGGCCCTATGTTATGCCCCTTTTTTACAATATGTAAAATAAGTATCTGATGTCCCTAGAGTGTACATGAAGTTTTAGCTCAAAATACCCCACAGATCATTTTTATAGCTTGTTTAAATTGGCATGACTTTATCGATTTTTTTCTGTACATTTCCTTCGAAAATGAAACGTAACCACAGTGTCCTTAGCGGCTCAGATGGACTCCTATGTTCATTGGTGCATCGCAAAAACACAACACTGGTAATGCCGCTTTGGCGCTGACATGTGGTGCATTCCAAATGGGATATATCGCCCTCCGAAGGGCACTTCAATTTGGAACGACCGAAGTGCCCTTTGTAGGGCGATATATCCCATCAAAAACTCAAAACTGGCCACTTCAAAGGGCCCTTCGGAATGAAGGATTTCGAAGGGTACAACTGATGGACACTTTGGGCTCCCATGATCCATTGCGCAGATTCTTTGCATGATGACGGCGCCTCCGTGTGGGCATGTGATGATGACGCAGAAGGGCACTTCAAGAAACAGTTGTTTGGTCCCCTACACCCTTCGAAGCTCTCACTCCAGAGGGTAAACCCTTTGAAGGGATTAGGGCATAGGGATGAGCCCTTCCGAATGGAACGCAGGGATTGTGTATCTCCAGTAACTGCTGCTTCTCACTCAGGACTGTGTCTATGCTAATAGGTCAAGAGAGCGTCACAAATGGGCGGGGCTTTTTCCCCTATGGTAACGTGTACCTAGGGAGAAATCTGGAATGGCTTGTTCTGAGAGACAGTTATTAGAATTATAAAAAAAATTAGTGGGTGGATTTTTACCATAACAAGCTAGTTGTTTTCACACACTGCAGCCACACAACATGTTCAATCACCTTATAAAAGTGATTTTTGCATAATAGGTCCCCTTTAACATTGATAATGAATCTTAAATCTTAAGCAGCAAATCATCATATTAGAATGGTTTCTGAAGAATCATGAGACACTAAAGCCTGGAGTAATGGCTGCTGAAAATTCAGCTTGCTATAACAGGAATAATTACATTTGAAAATAGATTCAAAAACAACAGTTACAATTATAACTGTTATTATAAATATTACAAATGACTTTCAAGTACAATAAAAACTTTTGCCCTAGGTACACTGTAAAAATTACTAATTTTAATAGTAAAATATCACCTTCTGTTTTTTTCTTATCAGTGCATCAGTTAGGTGTCTTACATGCTGTTAAATCCATTATAAATGGCAGAATCCATGTCTTTACTGTGTAGATGTGTAAACCAAATATGTAATCAATCATGACATATTTTATTTTGCACGTCCAAAACCATTTGTAGTGCTGTCTGTCTTGGCCAGGTCTTCATTGTTGGAGGTCTAAATGTCAGTGCGACTGCCCCAGTTGATAGTTAATAATAAAGAAATAAAGATGGATATACAGTACATGAAATAATCATGTCTGTTTGAGTTTTTAGAGGAGAGCACTTAGTCTGTCTCTTAAGCTGATTTGCACTTTTATTTTCTTCATGTCAGCTCTCATCCTGGAAGCGCTACTGGATTGTCCTATCTGGCTCCATTCTCATCTATTTTGGTTCTAAAGCTCTAAGAGCAAATGAGCGAAGACATGTGAGTGATTAAATATTCTCTCAATTCAATTCAATTTTTTTTTACTTATGAAGTGCCATCTAAGCTATTAGTCAGACTTTAACTGGTCGAATAATAAAAATAAAAAGTGTTGCCTATTTTTATGCTAATTAAAACTATTTAATTATTTCAACCAATCTAATTCAGTTCAGCTTTAAGAACTTATCGTTTAGATTATTTATGCTAAGGGAAATTCCAGTACTCTTTTGAATTCAAGCTTAAATGAAGTTTACTTGGCTTAACCTCCTTGTAATTGTGCCTTTTTGTCTTAAGTATTGACTGCCCCAGTTGATAGTTAATAATAAAGAAATAAAGATGGATATACAGTACATAAAATAATCATGTCTGTTTGAGTTTTTAGAGGAGAGCACTTAGTCTGTCTCTTAAGCTGATTTGCACTTTTATTTTCTTCATGTCAGCTCTCATCCTGGAAGCGCTACTGGATTGTCCTGTCTGGCTCCATTCTCATCTATTTTGGTTCTAAAGCTCTAAGAGCAAATGAGCGAAGACATGTGAGTGATTAAATATTCTCTCAATTCAATTCAATTTTTTTTTACTTATGAAGTGCCATCTAAGCTATTAGTCAGACTTTAACTGGTCGAATAATAAAAATAAAAAGTGTTGCCTATTTTTATGCTAATTAAAACTATTTAATTATTTCAACCAATCTAATTCAGTTCAGCTTTAAGAACTTATCGTTTAGATTATTTATGCTAAGGGAAATTCCAGTACTCTTTTGAATTCAAGCTTAAATGAAGTTTACTTGGCTTAACCTCCTTGTAATTGTGCCTTTTTGTCTTAAGTATAAATCCAGGCCATGTAAAAAGATCACACTCACAGGTTGGATGGTGGTTCTGCCAGAAAACCCTGAACATCCAAATATTTTCCAGCTTACTGATCCTGAAAGAGGTACTGTTTTTCATCTATCTACAACTCATGCATGAACATATAATGTATGTGACTTAAAATATAATTCTTCACAAACATAAACTGTTTCACACTGTGATAAAATAGCTACAAAACAATGTTTATGGCTATTTTTCATTCATTTTTTGCATACGACATACAAATGTTTGACATAAAAATGCTTTTGTGCTTTCTACTTTATATTTCGATTCAAAACAAACATTCGTTTCGCAGTCAGAAAAGCTTGCTTTAATTGTGTGGCATTTTAAAACTCTCACCAACCGTCACTGAAATGTCATGCCACTTCCCAGATTGAAGGTGTGAATCAGAAACTTTTGGAGTACTTTCACTTAGTATGGCATTGTAAGCGGCAGGCAGGTGATGGCTAAATTCTTCAGTTTGGTAGGTTTCAGAAATGAAAGAAAACTGGAACATTGTGAAAGATCATCTAAAAGTGATCATGATGCTCTGGTTTTTTTTGTGTGTGTTTTTTTTTGTCTGTCAGCTGTTGTGTTTTCTGTTTTGTCGTTGAACATATTTGCCATTTATATGTAGAGAAAAAAGTTATGTAGTATCCTGATGAGGTTCCAGGAAATAGTTTGAATCAAACAACATTATCTTGATGTGTGAGCACTGGCTTCATGTAGACCTTGATATGTATACAAATGATCTTCTACTGAAAGATGCCCAAGTCCAGATTTGTATAAACATGAAAATATTTGACATAAAAAATGAGTCATTGCTACATAGATTTGATTCAGCAAATTACTTTATGGCTTTATAAAGCTCTAAGAGCAAATGAGCGAAGACATGTGAGTGATTAAATATTCTCTCTATTCAATTCAATTTTTTTTTTACTTATGAAGTGCCATCTAAGCTATTAGTCAGACTTTAACTGGTCGAATAATAAAAATAAAAAGTGTTGCCTATTTTTATGCTAATTAAAACTATTTAATTATTTCAACCAATCTAATTCAGTTCAGCTTTAAGAATTTATCGTTTAGATTATTTATGCTAAGGGAAATTCCAGTACTCTTTTGAATTCAAGCTTAAATGAAGTTTACTTGGCTTAACCTCCTTGTAATTGTGCCTTTTTGTCTTAAGTATAAATCCAGGCCATGTAAAAAGATCACACTCACAGGTTGGATGGTGGTTCTGCCAGAAAACCCTGAACATCCAAATATTTTCCAGCTTACTGATCCTGAAAGAGGTACTGTTTTTCATCTATCTACAACTCATGCATGAACATATAATGTATGTGACTTAAAATATAATTCTTCACAAACATAAACTGTTTCACACTGTGATAAAATAGCTACAAAACAATGTTTATGGCTATTTTTCATTCATTTTTTGCATACGACATACAAATGTTTGACATAAAAATGCTTTTGTGCTTTCTACTTTATATTTCGATTCAAAACAAACATTCGTTTCGCAGTCAGAAAAGCTTGCTTTAATTGTGTGGCATTTTAAAACTCTCACCAACCGTCACTGAAATGTCATGCCACTTCCCAGATTGAAGGTGTGAATCAGAAACTTTTGGAGTACTTTCACTTAGTATGGCATTGTAAGCGGCAGGCAGGTGATGGCTAAATTCTTCAGTTTGGTAGGTTTCAGAAATGAAAGAAAACTGGAACATTGTGAAAGATCATCTAAAAGTGATCATGATGCTCTGGTTTTTTTTGTGTGTGTTTTTTTTTGTCTGTCAGCTGTTGTGTTTTCTGTTTTGTCGTTGAACATATTTGCCATTTATATGTAGAGAAAAAAGTTATGTAGTATCCTGATGAGGTTCCAGGAAATAGTTTGAATCAAACAACATTATCTTGATGTGTGAGCACTGGCTTCATGTAGACCTTGATATGTATACAAATGATCTTCTACTGAAAGATGCCCAAGTCCAGATTTGTATAAACATGAAAATATTTGACATAAAAAATGAGTCATTGCTACATAGATTTGATTCAGCAAATTACTTTATGGCTTTATAAATGGCAGATTTGCAATGTCACGCAACTTAATTTGAAAAGACCCATACAAGTTCAATTGTTTTAATCTGTGGTTCAGGTAATGTTTACAAGTTCCAGACTGGATCACGTTTCTCTGCGATTATCTGGCACAGACATTTAGCCGAGGCGTGCAGGAGTACAAGACCACAGGTAAGTGTATCGTGATTCGTGACACAAAATTTCTCATGTAAAATAATTTTGTAATTAACCGGTATATGCAGGAATGTCACATTGTTTTCCACAGATACCAGCAAACCTCATGTCCTTTGAATAGCTGTTTTTTGGGAAGTGGAATACAGATGAAGAGAATAAACCTCATGGAGAAAGACATTGCAGAAGAGTTTATGCGAGGGGGCAGCATGTTGGACCTAACATAGTTGGAAATGTGGCAGCTGTATCTGTTGAAAAAGTCCAAAATTCTTTCAGACATTGCTGACACAGCTGTACTGAGAGAGGATGGTCTTGTGTCTTCAGTTTAGTGGTAACACTTTACAATAAGGTTCAATTTGTTAACATGAGATAAAGGAATAGTTCACTCAAAAATGAAAATATACCCACCCTCAGTCCATCCAAGATGTACAGTAGACGAGTTTGTTTCTTCATCAGAACATATTTGGTCAAATTAGCATCACATCACTTGCTCAGCAATGCATCCTCTGTAATGAATGGGTATTTCTGTCCAAAATACCAGTTCATAATCCATAATAACACTTCCTTCAGTGAAAAAGTCCTTCCCATGTTTAGAACTGTAAACAGCGCTTGATCTAAGCGTAGTTCTCTTCTGATTCAGAATTTTTCACTGGAAAAAGCAATATCATGGATAGAGGACTCATATTTTAGCTGGAAGCAAGTTTGAAGTTGGTTGGAAGATAATGATAATGAATTCATTAATGCATTGCAGCCATTTTCATAGCATTTATCATATAAGTTAATGTTTGTTTATAAATATACTACTGTTAATCCTATCCATATTTTTTCATAATATATTCCAGTTCATTTATACAATTATATATAACTGATGTTAACAAATTGAAACCTTATTGTTAGTTTTACCTGACGAACCTAAAGGTTAATTTGAAATATATTGTAAATGACATGTATAAAATAACATTGTCCAATAGATGTCTTCATGTGATTAAGTGCCAAAATTATGACCTTTGTATTATTAAATCTCTTAGAATTATGTTCAATTCATGTTAGATGTTAGAGAGCAAAAGTGAAAGCATTAAATCCCTGGACAGTGAGCATGCATAAAACATGTATGACAGCACTTCATAAGAAGAGCCAAAAAAGTGCACTGTATAAAGGGAAATGTGTTACATAAAGGGAATTGCACATTGTCACAATAATGGCATTTAAATGGCAAATTTGGATTATTAAACATGTAATGTCACACGGGTATCAGGAAATAAGTGCCAGTGTTAATGTGGTGTAGTTCAACTCAAAGTTCTGTAGTCTATTTACTTGTGGACAAAATATGAGTGATGTCCGATTGTATGTCTTGACATCATAAAGTGGGCAGGACCCAAAAGGTATATAGTTCTGGATGCTGATTAGGTTTTATAGAGATACTGTTGTAAAATGTACATGTAAATGAAGTTCCGGGAGAATGTGAAGGTAAGCAACTGTCTTTTGGTCAGAGCCATGTATAATGTATTCATTGGAGAAACAACAATTCACATCTAATACTTCAGTGTAGTATTATTTTTGTTATTATTTATTTATTTAAATGGTATACATCAAGAGGTCTGTACAAATTGTAAAGTACATAACAACGTGTAGTATTTTGCAGAGTCACACATTTTATAAGGTGTAGGAATGAGACTCATTCTTCCTCAAAGGTGACATTAAGGCACTAAGTGTGAAGTGTAGAATGCTTTGTATATTGCAAATGGAGATTATACTTTGTTTGATTTTCTGTAAATTCTCTGGAACATGCATGGATGTTTTGAACTAACAGGTTTTTTGTGTCACTTTAGTATCAGTATAAATGTGTACACACTATCGGCATGTAGAGGAACTACTCCAGGAAAAGCTGTTAATCTGTTATCATTAAAAAATTGGATCAGGCTTTGAATCTTCAAACAGTACAGAACCGCTTACAACAAGACTACAACATATGATAAAGATGACAGATGAAATGCTGCTCTCACAGATTTTGTTCGAGTTTGAGTCACGTAAGCAACCATTTCAGCTGTGATTAGATAGCACATCTGCACTGATGTTATCAGCAAGTACAGTATTACTAAGTGGTAGCTACCTCTTTATTCTGTCTTTTTTGGGGGTTATGGTTTCCATACCATCTGAAAGTTCACATATTTCTGTATATTTCTGTCCTCTGCTAATGACTGAGTTTTGGATGTTCTATTCGGTCCTCACAATGTGATGTCATCTTTATATGGTCTATAATGAGCCTAGACCTTTTACTAACTCAATACTTTTGTGTTTTGTCTTTATGGAAATATATGCCTAAAGAGAAAAATTGGTATAGTTTGACTTATTTCACGCTTACACACTATATGACATATTTCAGCGGGGTTAAGTTAGTTTTGTTTTCGATATTCGTGACACATTCAAAGATAAATAACTCCAGAACGACTTGCCCTAAAAAAAATCTAAACAATGTGACCGCCAAAAGGGGAAAGCTGATCATGTTTCACAGCCTTCTTTGTCATAATTTTCGCTCGCTTTCGGTAAGGGACCGTGGGGAAAGTGCAATTTTACTTCCGTTTTTTGTTAAGGCTCAGTGGGCTCACAGCCTCTCTTTTTACCCCTTGTGGCTGATTAGGGAATTGCATGTCCAAAATGAACCTTCTTTATGTAATAACTTTAATCAGCAGGAAGATACAGATATGAGACCAGTGTCATTCAATAGAGTGGGACAGTGGACATCTTTTACAAAATTAAATTTTACCCCTACTCGTAGAAAAGGGAATTGCATGTCTAAAATTAACCTTTTTGTAATAACTTTTTACATCAGGGAGACAGAGGCATGAGACCAGTGTCCATCAATAGAGGGGGACAATGGACATTTTTTACAACCTTCCATTTTACCCTTACTGGTAGAAAAGGGATTTGCATGTCCAAAATTAACCTTCTTTTTGTAATAACTTTTGTCAGCAGGAAGATAGAGACATGAGACCAGTGTCAATCAATAGAGGGGGACAATTGACATTTTTACAACCTTCCATTTCACCCCAAGTGGATGATTAGTGAATTGCATGTCCAAAATTAACTTTTTTGTAATAGCTTTTTGCATCAAGGAGACAGAGACATGAAACCAGTGTCAATCAATACAGGGGGACAGTAGACATTTTTCACAACCTTCCACTTTACACCTACTGGTAGAAAAGGGAATTGCATGTCCAAAATTATCTTTCTTTTTGTAATAACTTTCGTCAGCAGAAAGATAGAGACTTGAGTCCAGTGTCAATCAATAGAGGGGAACAGTGGACATTTTTCCCAACCTTTCATTTTACCCTAGTGGCTGTTTAGGGAATATCATGTCCAGAACTAACCTCCTTTTTGTAATGGAGTTTTCTATCAGGGAGACAGAGACATTAATCCAGTGTCAATCAATAGAGAGCGACAGTGGGCATCTTTTACAACCTGTCTTTTTACCCCTACTGGTGGCAAGTGGGATTGCATGTCCACAATTAAAAATGGTAAGATCTTTTTTATTCAGGGAGACCGAGACTCGAAGTGTCAATCAATAGAGGGGGACAATTGACATACGACAACCTCTTTCTTTTAAAATACTTAAACATCACGTTTTGACTGTGTTACTTAATTATAGATTTGGAGTACTCGAAACTCAAATACAACTTTAACGGACTTGGGGTTGTCATGCACTCGGATGCATTTTCACTCAGACTTGAGCCTTTGGCTTTGGGACTCAAAAAATATTTACATCACTGACCAGATGCTTTGTTACAAAAGTGACATTCAGATTTCACATGTGTTTTTAAGTCTTGACATTACTTGCGCAAAAAATTTGCCTCGCAGTGTGCGAATGCCAAATTAAGTTTTCTTTTGCATGTTATTACTACACACTCAAATACACAAAAAGTTGTGTTTAAATGCCTGTCTTGGAGAGTATCCATGTAAATGCAGTCGGTTATGTCTTAAGTGAACCTAAACAGTTGGGAGAAATACAGATGTGTCCAAATAATTGCATCAGGTCTTAAAGCGACAGCAGTGTAAAGCCTGCTGCCGCCGACTGTGTTGATAATGTTAATCAAACAAAACAAAAATAAGAAAATCACTCACTGCTCTTATCTGAATCACTTTAGTAACTTTATTTAATACATACCATAGACTGTAAAAAAAAAAGTTAATCCTGCAGACAGATGTAGCTTTGCACAATACCAGCATCTACAATGATTTTGATCAGCATTTGTTCATAGCAGAGGACTCTATCAATGTCACGAATCCGGTCCATGAACTTCCTTCTGCTAGCCATCAGAGGTCACCCTTTCCAATTTCATTGACTCTCGCACTACACACTGTTGCACATCACCCCGGACTACATATCCCATCATTCATTGCACTGATTGCACTCAGCACGGATTGCACCCAGCTGTTTCATATCACTCCCTCACTATTTAACACTCACTTAGAGGAGAGCACTTAGTCTGTCTCTTAAGCTGATTTGCACTTTTATTTTCTTCATGTCAGCTCTCATCCTGGAAGCGCTACTGGATTGTCCTGTCTGGCTCCATTCTCATCTATTTTGGTTCTAAAGCTCTAAGAGCAAATGAGCGAAGACATGTGAGTGATTAAATATTCTCTCTATTCAATTCAATTTTTTTTTTACTTATGAAGTGCCATCTAAGCTATTAGTCAGACTTTAACTGGTCGAATAATAAAAATAAAAAGTGTTGCCTATTTTTATGCTAATTAAAACTATTTAATTATTTCAACCAATCTAATTCAGTTCAGCTTTAAGAACTTATCGTTTAGATTATTTATGCTAAGGGAAATTCCAGTACTCTTTTGAATTCAAGCTTAAATGAAGTTTACTTGGCTTAACCTCCTTGTAATTGTGCCTTTTTGTCTTAAGTATAAATCCAGGCCATGTAAAAAGATCACACTCACAGGTTGGATGGTGGTTCTGCCAGAAAACCCTGAACATCCAAATATTTTCCAGCTTACTGATCCTGAAAGAGGTACTGTTTTTCATCTATCTACAACTCATGCATGAACATATAATGTATGTGACTTAAAATATAATTCTTCACAAACATAAACTGTTTCACACTGTGATAAAATAGCTACAAAACAATGTTTATGGCTATTTTTCATTCATTTTTTGCATACGACATACAAATGTTTGACATAAAAATGCTTTTGTGCTTTCTACTTTATATTTCGATTCAAAACAAACATTCGTTTCGCAGTCAGAAAAGCTTGCTTTAATTGTGTGGCATTTTAAAACTCTCACCAACCGTCACTGAAATGTCATGCCACTTCCCAGATTGAAGGTGTGAATCAGAAACTTTTGGAGTACTTTCACTTAGTATGGCATTGTAAGCGGCAGGCAGGTGATGGCTAAATTCTTCAGTTTGGTAGGTTTCAGAAATGAAAGAAAACTGGAACATTGTGAAAGATCATCTAAAAGTGATCATGATGCTCTGGTTTTTTTTGTGTGTGTTTTTTTTTGTCTGTCAGCTGTTGTGTTTTCTGTTTTGTCGTTGAACATATTTGCCATTTATATGTAGAGAAAAAAGTTATGTAGTATCCTGATGAGGTTCCAGGAAATAGTTTGAATCAAACAACATTATCTTGATGTGTGAGCACTGGCTTCATGTAGACCTTGATATGTATACAAATGATCTTCTACTGAAAGATGCCCAAGTCCAGATTTGTATAAACATGAAAATATTTGACATAAAAAATGAGTCATTGCTACATAGATTTGATTCAGCAAATTACTTTATGGCTTTATAAATGGCAGATTTGCAATGTCACGCAACTTAATTTGAAAAGACCCATACAAGTTCAATTGTTTTAATCTGTGGTTCAGGTAATGTTTACAAGTTCCAGACTGGATCACGTTTCTCTGCGATTATCTGGCACAGACATTTAGCCGAGGCGTGCAGGAGTACAAGACCACAGGTAAGTGTATCGTGATTCGTGACACAAAATTTCTCATGTAAAATAATTTTGTAATTAACCGGTATATGCAGGAATGTCACATTGTTTTCCACAGATACCAGCAAACCTCATGTCCTTTGAATAGCTGTTTTTTGGGAAGTGGAATACAGATGAAGAGAATAAACCTCATGGAGAAAGACATTGCAGAAGAGTTTATGCGAGGGGGCAGCATGTTGGACCTAACATAGTTGGAAATGTGGCAGCTGTATCTGTTGAAAAAGTCCAAAATTCTTTCAGACATTGCTGACACAGCTGTACTGAGAGAGGATGGTCTTGTGTCTTCAGTTTAGTGGTAACACTTTACAATAAGGTTCAATTTGTTAACATGAGATAAAGGAATAGTTCACTCAAAAATGAAAATATACCCACCCTCAGTCCATCCAAGATGTACAGTAGACGAGTTTGTTTCTTCATCAGAACATATTTGGTCAAATTAGCATCACATCACTTGCTCAGCAATGCATCCTCTGTAATGAATGGGTATTTCTGTCCAAAATACCAGTTCATAATCCATAATAACACTTCCTTCAGTGAAAAAGTCCTTCCCAGGGTTGGAACTGTAAACAGCGCTTGATCTAAGCGTAGTTCTCTTCTGATTCAGAATTTTTCACTGGAAAAAGCAATATCATGGATAGAGGACTCATATTTTAGCTGGAAGCCAGTTTGAAGTTGGTTGGAAGATAATGATAATGAATTCATTAATGCATTGCAGCCATTTTCATAGCATTTATCATCTATGATAAATTCTATCAAACATCTATCAAAGTTAATGTTTGTTTATAAATATACTACTGTTAATCCTATCCATATTTTTTCATAATATATTCCAGTTCATTTATACAATTATATATAACTGATGTTAACAAATTGAAACCTTATTGTTAGTTTTACCTGACGAACCTAAAGGTTAATTTGAAATATATTGTAAATGACATGTATAAAATAACATTGTCCAATAGATGTCTTCATGTGATTAAGTGCCAAAATTATGACCTTTGTATTATTAAATCTCTTAGAATTATGTTCAATTCATGTTAGATGTTAGAGAGCAAAAGTGAAAGCATTAAATCCCTGGACAGTGAGCATGCATAAAACATGTATGACAGCACTTCATAAGAAGAGCCAAAAAAGTGCACTGTATAAAGGGAAATGTGTTACATAAAGGGAATTGCACATTGTCACAATAATGGCATTTAAATGGCAAATTTGGATTATTAAACATGTAATGTCACACGGGTATCAGGAAATAAGTGCCAGTGTTAATGTGGTGTAGTTCAACTCAAAGTTCTGTAGTCTATTTACTTGTGGACAAAATATGAGTGATGTCCGATTGTATGTCTTGACATCATAAAGTGGGCAGGACCCAAAAGGTATATAGTTCTGGATGCTGATTAGGTTTTATAGAGATACTGTTGTAAAATGTACATGTAAATGAAGTTCCGGGAGAATGTGAAGGTAAGCAACTGTCTTTTGGTCAGAGCCATGTATAATGTATTCATTGGAGAAACAACAATTCACATCTAATACTTCAGTGTAGTATTATTTTTGTTATTATTTATTTATTTAAATGGTATACATCAAGAGGTCTGTACAAATTGTAAAGTACATAACAACGTGTAGTATTTTGCAGAGTCACACATTTTATAAGGTGTAGGAATGAGACTCATTCTTCCTCAAAGGTGACATTAAGGCACTAAGTGTGAAGTGTAGAATGCTTTGTATATTGCAAATGGAGATTATACTTTGTTTGATTTTCTGTAAATTCTCTGGAACATGCATGGATGTTTTGAACTAACAGGTTTTTTGTGTCACTTTAGTATCAGTATAAATGTGTACACACTATCGGCATGTAGAGGAACTACTCCAGGAAAAGCTGTTAATCTGTTATCATTAAAAAATTGGATCAGGCTTTGAATCTTCAAACAGTACAGAACCGCTTACAACAAGACTACAACATATGATAAAGATGACAGATGAAATGCTGCTCTCACAGATTTTGTTCGAGTTTGAGTCACGTAAGCAACCATTTCAGCTGTGATTAGATAGCACATCTGCACTGATGTTATCAGCAAGTACAGTATTACTAAGTGGTAGCTACCTCTTTATTCTGTCTTTTTTGGGGGTTATGGTTTCCATACCATCTGAAAGTTCACATATTTCTGTATATTTCTGTCCTCTGCTAATGACTGAGTTTTGGATGTTCTATTCGGTCCTCACAATGTGATGTCATCTTTATATGGTCTATAATGAGCCTAGACCTTTTACTAACTCAATACTTTTGTGTTTTGTCTTTATGGAAATATATGCCTAAAGAGAAAAATTGGTATAGTTTGACTTATTTCACGCTTACACACTATATGACATATTTCAGCGGGGTTAAGTTAGTTTTGTTTTCGATATTCGTGACACATTCAAAGATAAATAACTCCAGAACGACTTGCCCTAAAAAAAATCTAAACAATGTGACCGCCAAAAGGGGAAAGCTGATCATGTTTCACAGCCTTCTTTGTCATAATTTTCGCTCGCTTTCGGTAAGGGACCGTGGGGAAAGTGCAATTTTACTTCCGTTTTTTGTTAAGGCTCAGTGGGCTCACAGCCTCTCTTTTTACCCCTTGTGGCTGATTAGGGAATTGCATGTCCAAAATGAACCTTCTTTATGTAATAACTTTAATCAGCAGGAAGATACAGATATGAGACCAGTGTCATTCAATAGAGTGGGACAGTGGACATCTTTTACAAAATTAAATTTTACCCCTACTCGTAGAAAAGGGAATTGCATGTCTAAAATTAACCTTTTTGTAATAACTTTTTACATCAGGGAGACAGAGGCATGAGACCAGTGTCCATCAATAGAGGGGGACAATGGACATTTTTTACAACCTTCCATTTTACCCTTACTGGTAGAAAAGGGATTTGCATGTCCAAAATTAACCTTCTTTTTGTAATAACTTTTGTCAGCAGGAAGATAGAGACATGAGACCAGTGTCAATCAATAGAGGGGGACAATTGACATTTTTACAACCTTCCATTTCACCCCAAGTGGATGATTAGTGAATTGCATGTCCAAAATTAACTTTTTTGTAATAGCTTTTTGCATCAAGGAGACAGAGACATGAAACCAGTGTCAATCAATACAGGGGGACAGTAGACATTTTTCACAACCTTCCACTTTACACCTACTGGTAGAAAAGGGAATTGCATGTCCAAAATTATCTTTCTTTTTGTAATAACTTTCGTCAGCAGAAAGATAGAGACTTGAGTCCAGTGTCAATCAATAGAGGGGAACAGTGGACATTTTTCCCAACCTTTCATTTTACCCTAGTGGCTGTTTAGGGAATATCATGTCCAGAACTAACCTCCTTTTTGTAATGGAGTTTTCTATCAGGGAGACAGAGACATTAATCCAGTGTCAATCAATAGAGAGCGACAGTGGGCATCTTTTACAACCTGTCTTTTTACCCCTACTGGTGGCAAGTGGGATTGCATGTCCACAATTAAAAATGGTAAGATCTTTTTTATTCAGGGAGACCGAGACTCGAAGTGTCAATCAATAGAGGGGGACAATTGACATACGACAACCTCTTTCTTTTAAAATACTTAAACATCACGTTTTGACTGTGTTACTTAATTATAGATTTGGAGTACTCGAAACTCAAATACAACTTTAACGGACTTGGGGTTGTCATGCACTCGGATGCATTTTCACTCAGACTTGAGCCTTTGGCTTTGGGACTCAAAAAATATTTACATCACTGACCAGATGCTTTGTTACAAAAGTGACATTCAGATTTCACATGTGTTTTTAAGTCTTGACATTACTTGCGCAAAAAATTTGCCTCGCAGTGTGCGAATGCCAAATTAAGTTTTCTTTTGCATGTTATTACTACACACTCAAATACACAAAAAGTTGTGTTTAAATGCCTGTCTTGGAGAGTATCCATGTAAATGCAGTCGGTTATGTCTTAAGTGAACCTAAACAGTTGGGAGAAATACAGATGTGTCCAAATAATTGCATCAGGTCTTAAAGCGACAGCAGTGTAAAGCCTGCTGCCGCCGACTGTGTTGATAATGTTAATCAAACAAAACAAAAATAAGAAAATCACTCACTGCTCTTATCTGAATCACTTTAGTAACTTTATTTATGTAATAACTTTAATCAGCAGGAAGATACAGATATGAGACCAGTGTCATTCAATAGAGTGGGACAGTGGACATCTTTTACAAAATTAAATTTTACCCCTACTCGTAGAAAAGGGAATTGCATGTCTAAAATTAACCTTTTTGTAATAACTTTTTACATCAGGGAGACAGAGGCATGAGACCAGTGTCCATCAATAGAGGGGGACAATGGACATTTTTTACAACCTTCCATTTTACCCTTACTGGTAGAAAAGGGATTTGCATGTCCAAAATTAACCTTCTTTTTGTAATAACTTTTGTCAGCAGGAAGATAGAGACATGAGACCAGTGTCAATCAATAGAGGGGGACAATTGACATTTTTACAACCTTCCATTTCACCCCAAGTGGATGATTAGTGAATTGCATGTCCAAAATTAACTTTTTTGTAATAGCTTTTTGCATCAAGGAGACAGAGACATGAAACCAGTGTCAATCAATACAGGGGGACAGTAGACATTTTTCACAACCTTCCACTTTACACCTACTGGTAGAAAAGGGAATTGCATGTCCAAAATTATCTTTCTTTTTGTAATAACTTTCGTCAGCAGAAAGATAGAGACTTGAGTCCAGTGTCAATCAATAGAGGGGAACAGTGGACATTTTTCCCAACCTTTCATTTTACCCTAGTGGCTGTTTAGGGAATATCATGTCCAGAACTAACCTCCTTTTTGTAATGGAGTTTTCTATCAGGGAGACAGAGACATTAATCCAGTGTCAATCAATAGAGAGCGACAGTGGGCATCTTTTACAACCTGTCTTTTTACCCCTACTGGTGGCAAGTGGGATTGCATGTCCACAATTAAAAATGGTAAGATCTTTTTTATTCAGGGAGACCGAGACTCGAAGTGTCAATCAATAGAGGGGGACAATTGACATACGACAACCTCTTTCTTTTAAAATACTTAAACATCACGTTTTGACTGTGTTACTTAATTATAGATTTGGAGTACTCGAAACTCAAATACAACTTTAACGGACTTGGGGTTGTCATGCACTTGGATGCATTTTCACTCAGACTTGAGCCTTTGGCTTTGGGACTCAAAAAATATTTACATCACTGACCAGATGCTTTGTTACAAAAGTGACATTCAGATTTCACATGTGTTTTTAAGTCTTGACATTACTTGCGCAAAAAATTTGCCTCGCAGTGTGCGAATGCCAAATTAAGT